GCAGGGCAAAATGCTGCCACGCAGCAGCTTGTGTGAAATTGACACGTACCATCGGGGCAAGAGGGAAGAGCAAGCACAGGGCAGCGCTTGTGGGAAATCGGCCCTGCTCTCTGAAACTTCCTTATACCGAGTCTGACCATCACTCTGTCAAGGTCAGCATCGTCTCCTCTGACTGGCAGCAGCTCTCCAGGGTCTCAAGCAGAGGCCTTTTCCATCACCTACTGCCTGAACTTTTTTAACTGGAGGTGCCAGGGATAAAACCTGGGTCCTTAGCAGGTGAAGCTGCCTTGTGCTGAATCGAACCGTTGGTTCATCAATATCAGTATTGCCAGGGGTCATTTCGTAGAAAAAGAGGTGCAGGAGCTCATTAACATAATGTATTAGCATAACTCATTTGCATATGCCACACACCCCTGACATCACCGGAAGTGTGTCAGAAGGCAACATCCACTGCTCAGGCTCCACTGGACTGTTTTGGATTGCTAGCTATTTTTTTTTGGGGGGGGGGGCGTGCAGATTTGTCCTCGCAGAGGAGGGAGAGCTTGTACCTGAAGGCAGGCTCTGCAACTTACCTGGCTGCTTCTTGCTCGTCGTGGCCCGACTGAGGGCTGCTGGGAGCAGGGGGCGGGGCTTGTTGCATGTGCCCGCCCCCTGGGCTCCTTACTGCCAGAGCTCCGCTCCTGTGCACTCCCGCAGGAAATTACCCCTGAGCCCGCTCGCAGGAAGGGCGGGGTATAAATCAAAATAATAAATAAATAAATAAAACATTACCCACTCAGACTGGCAGTGGCTCTCCAGAGTGACCAGCCAAAGGTCTTTCCCATCACCTACAACCTGATTGTTTTAACTGGGGAGGCCGGGGATTGAACCTGGGACCTTCCGCATGCATTGCCAAGCGGATGTTCTACCACTCCTCCAGTGGGTTCCGTGTGGTGCTCCACGCTTTGCAACCGCAGTCTCCAATACAGTAGGCGGGTCCGTTCATCCCAGCTCGACAGCTCTAGCAAACGGAGGGATACAGAAGGGAAGAAGGGCATGGACGGGGTCCAAGGGAGGCATTCCCTCTGCTCCACTGAGCTTATTCACGAGAACGCGCTGTGCAAATAGCTTTGTCCGAAGCTGGAGCATCACTGGGGAACTGCCGGTGTCATCTCCAGTTCACTGCCTCTCAGACATGAAAGCCTCATTCATCCCGCAGATGACTGAAATAAAAGCCGAGCTTTTCACATCGGCCGGCCCGCATCCTGCTAGCGGCTCTGAGTGGAAGGAGAGCGACAAGGATCAGGTTGAGGCAGGGCTTTTTTGGTAGATAAAGCCCAGCAGGAACTCATTAGCATAATAGGCCACGCCCAACAACAGAAACTCATTAGCATATTAGGCCACGCCCCCTGGCAGCACAGCTCATTGGCACATTAGGCCATACCCCCATGTTACCAGAAGTGTGCTCATCCAGCCACACCCACCTTTTGCTTCTTATTCTGTTTACCTTGTTTGTTGTCCAAACCCAGGGCTTTTTTGTAGCGGGAACTCCTTTGCATGTTAGGCCACACACCCCTAATGTAGCCAATCCTAATGAGTTTCTGCTGTTGGGTGTGGCCTATTATGCTAATGAGTTCCTGCTGGTCGTGGCCAACTTGGAAGCCAGACGTAACGCCGTTCCTGTACGTTCCTACCCAAAAATAGCCCTGGGTTGAGGTATCTCATTCACATGAACACGTGAAGCTGCCGTATACTGAATCAGACCTCTGGACTCCATCGAGGTTCGTCTTGTCTACTCAGACTGGCAGCAGCTCTCCACGGTTGCAGGCAGAGGTCTCTCACATCACCTACTGCCTGGTCCTTTTAATTGGAGATGCCGGGGATTGAACCCGGGACCTTCTGCATGCGAAGCAGAGGCTCCGCCACTGAGCCACGGCTCCTCAGCTTCCTTAGTAGGGGAAAAACCCCCGATAAGAGCAGCCCTGCTGAATCAGACTTATGGTCCCTGTAGTCTGGTGCTCTGCTTTCCACAATGGTCACCCGGATGCCCTTAGAAGGCCGGCAAGGTGGTCATAGAAGCCAAAGCCTACCAACATTTTTGTGTCCCTCCCCAGCAACTGGTACTCAGAGGTACTAGGCTGCCTCTCTGAAACCTCTCCCCTGAACTTAATTTTTGCCTTGCGTCAAATATGAGAGATTGTCATGCAGGAAAGAATCCCACCTACCAGTTCTTAAATTATGATATAGTTCTAACATCAGAAAACTGGGAAGAGTTCCTATTATGAGCAGCCTTCAGTTTTGTGGGGTTTTTTTATAAACATTTTATTCAGGATATAATCAACAAAGTCCAACACATGTTTACACCTTTCTCCCAGTTTACATCCAACCCTCCTCCCTTTCCCTCCCCTACTTGGCTTCCCACAGTGCTACAACCTCCTGCTCAAATCTTCAATTTTCTTTTTCCATCCCCTTTCCCCCAATACGTTCAATAGGTAACTAAATCTTCATTATTACACTTCTATTTTTAACATTTCCCATTGCTAGTCTTTAAACATTCAATAGTTAATAAAGCAAAATATATTGTCTCTTACATTATTACACTTCCATTTTTATCATTCCACATTGCTAATCTTTAACCTCAAAAGTTATTGAAACAAAATAAGTTGTCTCTTACAACCCAATACTTTTCCAGATACTCTTTTAAATCTTTCCAGTCTGCAAAGAAGTCCTCTGCTTCCATATTATTAAGTTTCCATGTCAACTTGTCCATTTCAACCATAAAAAGTAAAGCAGCCTTCAGTTTGTAGATGCTCATCTCTGCTCTCACAGAGGCAGGGTGGCGGCGTCGTAGCAGAGCACACCTTTATTCATTTTCTTTTTCCCCCCCGTGAGGACCCAGAGCAGTTTACATCCTTCTCCTCTCCTCTCCACAGCAACCCTGTGAGGTAGGTTAGGCTGAGAGGGTGTGACTGGCCCACATTCACCCAGTCAGCTTCCATGGCACTAAGCGGGATTCGAACCTGGGTCTCGTATCCCTGTATCACACTGGCTCAGGGTCCAGAATGTGATCTCGTGCTTCTCTACTTAGAGTGATCTAGGAAAGGCCATTCTCTGGCTGGGACCCAGAATAAGCTGCTGCATGTCCGTGGGCATAAGGTGGACCCGTGGTCTGATTTTCACACGACCGTTTCCTATTCGTTCTTAGGAGTCTCCCCAGGAAATTTTGCTTTCACTGTAGCTGCGAAAGTTGTTCGTCCGCTCACAGCTTCCCCTCCTCTCCCTTGCAGATCCAGAGACCTACTGTGTGTTTCAAGATAAGAAGTACCGTGTAGGAGAGAGGTGGCATCCGTACCTGGAACCCTACGGCATCGTTTACTGTGTGAACTGTCTCTGCTCTGAGGTATTTCTTGCAACTATTCCCAGTGTCTTTCTATATTGATGGTTATAAATAGTTCTTGAAATACTGATTTTTAAAGTGAGTAGGATAGGCATTGGGCGGGGTGAACTTCTGTTAGACCTCCTCCTCCTCTTCTCATTCTTGTGGTGACCCAAGTGCCTGAAGGGGGAACTTTGCCCACCCACAGCCGAATCCCACATTATAGCTCTTTGTCCAACAGAATGCAATGGGAGCTATTGAGAACTTCCAGTGCAAACCCAAGCATGCTTGCCTGGGAGTAAGTTCTACTGAACAGACTTGAGTAAGGTTCAAAGTAGACCAGCTTAGGAGAAACAATCATCAGGCGACACTGTGGCGTCACTTCTGGGTACATAACTGAAAGTCACGGCGCTGGGTGACGCTCTAGGAACTTCCCAGGTCTCTGTGTCATGTCATATCCTATCCACTCTGAGATTTATTTCTTTGCCATGCTGGATGATGGAATTTTGGGAACTGGTTTTCAGACAGAAAATAACCATAGCACTTGGCATCTATACAGCGCTGAGCATGATGATCTTTATCATCATGCACAAGGATTGGATCCAGCGATGCGCAAAACAGAAACATAATCAGAACTGAATTACGAAATCTGTGTGATCCCTTTTATTAGGGATAAATAGACGCAAATCAATGTGCAGGTTTTCCAGCTCGCCAGAACACTTCACCGGGCTGGATGTTAGAAAAATTAAATTTAAGAAACAGAGAACACTACACCGGTCAAGGCTCCCTCTAAGCCATGGAGTCTTGTGAGCAAATATTCTACTCTATGAGCTACTGGCATTAAAGCTGTGAGTGAGTGATTTGGCTACTGCATAAATTAGTTTGCTCTGGAGCCCTCCTTCCTGAGCTGAGACAAAAATGTGTGAGCCAGAGGCTAAAAAACTGTGAGCTAGCTCACACTAACTCAGCTTAGAGGGAACACTACACCGGTAGTTAGAAGCCTGCTTTTTGTGTATGTGTGAGAGATTGTGGAACACCTAGGCTAGCACAATCCTCTTTATATATTAGAGGGCCCAGAAATTAGTTGCACAAGATCTTGCAAGAGGGACGCAAGGAGTATGGCTTAGCGCAAGTGGCTGCTGGGATCTTTCTCTTGAATTTCCGCTCGCACAAGAGCTCTAGTACAAGTGGAAATTTTGCAGTGGATGCAATCTGTTGTTTTGCTACTCGTGACAACAACCCTGAGAGGTAGGCCAATGTGTTTCCCCCTTGACATCTATCTATTCAAATGTCTACCTTTCCTGACATCAAAGGTGATTCAAGGCAGCCTACAAAACCCAGAATTTACCATTGTGACAACAATTTTTATTTATTTATTTGTTATATTTATATCCCGCCCTCCCTGCGGATGGGCTCAGGGCGGCTCACATTTGCCAGCATAGTATAGCCGGTTAGCATGAAACATTTAAAACATTTAAAGCCAGCGGTGGCTCAAGTGGTTAAGGCGCTGAACTGCAGGCTGTGGAAGGTCAGTAGTTCAGCAGTTCGAGACCCGAGTTGCCTCATGATGGAGTGAGCTTTACCTTTAAACAATCATACAATATTACTTAAAGTGTTCGTCTTGGTAGTCCATCAATAAGTTAAGGTAGCGTACTATGAGATGACATACTAAGATCCCGACTTAGTAGTATTCCGGTCTCCCACGACAGGGCCAACCCCCACCACAGATGTTATTGATAGTAATAGTTGGTGGTAGTGGAGGGCTGCTCCTAGTTGAAAGCCTGGTGGAAGAGCTCTGTCTTGGAGGCCCTGCGGAACTGCACAAGGTCCCGCAGGGCCCTGATCTTTTCTGGGAGCTCATTCCACCAGTGAGGAGCCGCCACTGGAAAGGCCCTAGCCCTGGTAGCAGCGAGCCTGGCATCCTTAGGGCCTGGGACAATTAGTCGGTGTTGTGACCCCGACCGTAGTGCTCTCTGGGGTTTGTATGGCGAAAGGCAGTCCTTCAGGTAGGTCAGACCCCGGCCATATAGGGCTTTAAAGGTAAGTACCAGCACCTTGAAGCGAATTCGGTATGCTATTGGCAGCCAGTGCAGTGTCTTCAGCACCGGCCAGATGTGCTCCCATCTAGGGAGACCCATCAGGAGCCTGGCTGCGGCATTCTGCACTGGCTGCAGCTTCTGGATTAATGACAAGGGCAGCCCCATGTAGAGAGCGTTACAGTAGTTTAATCTCGAGGTGACCATCACATGGATCACTGTAGCCAGGTCGTTGCGGTCAAGGAAGGGAACCAACTGCCGAATCAGCCGAAGGTGATAAAAAGCCGACTTAGCAGTGGCTGCCACCTGGGCCTCCATTGTTAAGGAGGGATCCAGGAGCACTCCGAAACTCCTAACCTCCGACGCTGGCACCAGTGGCGCCCCATCGAAGGCTGGGAGCGGGATCCCCATCCCCGAACCACCCTGACTCAGGCACAGGACCTCTGTCTTCGCCGGATTTAGCTTCAGCCGGCTCAGTCTAAGCCAACCAGCCACGGCCTACAGTGCCCAGTCCAGATCATCCGGGCCGGAGTCAGACCGGCCACCCAACATCAGATAGAGCTGGGTGTCATCAGCGTACTGGTAACACCCCAGCCCATATCTTCAGATGGAAAGGGACCATCTATGGCTCCTGCGTCAGTTACCCTCCCCGCTATCAAAAGCCCTCTGTCTGAGAGCCAGTGGGGTATAGTAGAGTGTCAGACGATAATCTGGGGGACCCAGGCAAGAATCCCCATTTGGGCCATGCAAGCCTGCTGGGTGACCTTGGGCCGGTCACACCCTCTCAGGCTGACCCGCCTCACGGGGTTGTTGTGAGGATAAAATGGAGGAAAGCAGAATGGGGGAAGCCGCTTTGGGCCCCACCAGGGAGAAAGGCAGGGTAGAAATGAAGTCAACAAATAAATAAACGAGCCAGTGGGGTATAGTAGAGTGTCAGACGATAATCTGGGGGACCCAGGCAAGAATCCCCATTTGGGCCATGCAAGCCTGCTGGGTGACCTTGGGCCGGTCACACCCCCTCAGCCTGACCCGCCTCACAGGGTTGTTGTGAGGATAAAATGGAGGAGAGCAGAATGGGGGAAGCCGCTTTGGGTCCCCACCAGGGAGAAAGTCATTTCTCCCCACCAGGGAGAAAGTCATTTCTCCCCACCAGGGAGAAAGTCATTTCTCCCCACCAGGGAGAAATGAAGTCAACAAATAAATAAATGGGGCAGGTTTACATCAGGTCTTAACATCAGTAATCTGATTTCTATCCTTCTCTGTTCCTTAAATTTAAATATCCTAACATCCAGCCCGGTGAAGTGTTCTGGCGAGCCGGAAAACCTGCACAATATTTGTCTTTATTTATCCCTAATGTTCAAAGCAATGGTATTACCAGTAGTCATGTATGACTGCGAGAGTTGGACTATAAGGAAGGCCGAGCGCCGAAGAATAGATTCTTTTGAACTATGGTGCTGGAGAAGACTCTTGAGAGTCCCTTGGACTGCAAGGAGATCAAATCAGACTGAACAACAACAATCCCTAATAAAAGGGATGACACAGATTTCATTCTTGGTTTTGGATTTTGCATGGACCAGTCTGGCTGTGCAATCTTCTCCGTGTTACAGAACCACCTCTGGAAATGGGTCGGTATGGGACTTTGCCCAGATAGCAGACGGGGCTGAAGCCAAGAGACAGCAGTTTGGCTCGAGCACACTGACGAATCAGGGAAGACCTCAACCAAGGAATTCCCACCTGTCATCCTCTGCACTGCTTTACACCAGTAGTTAGAAGCCTGCTTTCCACGTGTGTGTGTGACTGGAATTACTAATGCCCTGGCCTCGGCTGGTATTTGGATGGGCAACCTCCAAGGAATAACAGGGTCAATGACACAGAGGCAGGCAATAGCAAACCACCTCTGAAACGTCTCTTGCCTCAAAAACAGGTCTAGCTCACCACCTAGTGGTGCATAACGCGAAAAGAGCTAGAACTTCTGGCTGTCAGACAATCTTAGGATCTCCTGGCTATACTACATACACTGTCACACGATACTCAGTTGTGGAATTTCTAGCACACAAGGTGCTGGATGCCTTGACCTGGTTAGTTGCTGTGCAGAGGCAGGCAATGGCAAACCGCCTCTGCTGGTCTCTTGCCTTGAAAGCCCTATGGGGTGACCATCAGTCAGTTGTGACTTGAAGGAGGAAAAAAAGTGCTCAATTCAGAGTTTCAGGGATATTCCTTTTTTTTACTGTGTGTACACCAGCAATAAACTCACTATTCTAGACATTCCATTTCTCTCTCCCTCCCTCCCTAAGTCTCATGAATACAGTATATGCAGGATCCATCAAAGTCAGTATTGCCTACTCTGACTAGTGGCAGCTATCCGGGTTCTCAGACAGAAGTCTTTCCCATCACCTCCTACCTGATCCTTTTAACTGGAGATGCCAGGGATTGAACCTGGGACCTTCTGCATGCCAAGCAGCTGCTCTGCCACTGAGCCACAGCCCCTCCCATTAGGTCCCCAGAAGTAAAAGCTCTGTGGGAACGAGATGCAACTTGGTCGTTGTGCAGAACCACAGAACCGAGGGGTGTGTGTGTTTACAACTAGACCTAGGAAACACAAGTTCCAATCGTTGCTCTGTCACAGGATCCCCACAAAGCCTCAGACATGCAAGCATGTCTCAGACTATTTTCAGTTTAGAAATGAGATGACTAAGGTGGAACGTGGTAAGAGGTTTATAAAATAATGCATAGGGAGAGGAGAGTTGACAGAGAGGACCTTTTCCCCCGTCTCCCAAAATACGAGAACTTGAGGGCACCCAATGAAGTTGATGGGCAGTAGATTCAGGATGGACAAAAGCAGGGCTATTTTTGGGCAGGAACGCACAGGAACCGAGTTCTGGCTGGCTCCCGAGTTGGCCACACCCAGCAGGAACTCATTAGCATAATAGGCCACACCCAACAGCAGGAACTCATTAGGATTGGCTACATTAGAGGTGTGTGGCCTAACATGCAAAGGGTTCCTGCTACAAAAAAAGGTCCTGGGTTTGGACAACAAACAAGGTAAACAGAATAAGAAGCAAAAGGTGGGTGTGGCTGGATGACCACACTTCTGGTAACTTGGGGGGGGTGGCCTAATATGCTAATGAGCTGCTGTCATGGGTGTGGCTTAATATGCTAATGAGTTTCTGCTGGGCTTTTTCTACAAAAAAAAGCCCTGGACAAAAGGAAATACTTCTTTACACACTGAGTGATTAAAATGTGAAATTTGCTGCCAAAGGATAGAACGGTGGCCACAGGCATAGACAGATTCACGGAGGACAGGTCTATCTGGGGCTACCAGCCATGATGACTAAAGGGCACCTCTGCATCCCAGAGCCAGGCGGCAACATCAGGGGAAGGCCTCGGCCTCTCTGCCCCGTTGCTGGCCTTCCAGAGGAAGTGGTTGGCCACTGTGTGAGACAGGATGCTGGACTAGATGGACCCCTGGTCTGGTCCAGCAAGGCTGTTCTTGTGTTCTTATGAAAAACCAGGAGATCGTTGTGTGATCAAACGAGACAAATGGTAAAACCCTTCACAAGCTATTAGTATTACAAACAATAATCCTTGCGGCTCTCTTGTTCTTCCCCCAGAATGGAAATGTGCTGTGCAACAGAATACGATGCCCGGCCCTCCACTGCCCTACCCCGGTTCATGTGCCCCAGCTGTGCTGCCCACGCTGTCCAGGTAATACTTATTTGCATTCCCACAAAACTCTCCGGAGTGGCGCATTCAGAACATGTTCAGTTTGCATTGTGAGAGCCGCCATTCTGAGAGGTGCAAGAAATGTTGGTGGTGGTGGGGGAACCCCTTCCTTCCACTCTTTTTCTCTCACACCACAGTCTGTGGTGGTGGTTGTGGTGAGAATGCACGGCACAGCCACTGGTTTTCCAGTCTGTAGTGGTGGTTGTGGTGAGAATTCTTCCACGTCGATATTTCCATGCATGGTGAAGTACCTCCAAGTGCACATCTGAGTGGGGCTGTTGTTCCTCTACACCAGGGGTCTCCAACCTCGGGCCTCTGAGCGCCATGTCGCCACCGACACCTTCCATGATGCCCCCTAGGTGTTTATAGGAAGTGGGGGGGGGGACCAGGTAGAGCTTTCACCCAGCAAAGCTTCTGTTTGACTGCTGGAGATTTGATTGGCTGTGCAGATTTTTTAAAAAAAATGTTGCTTTGGCAGCAGCTGCTTCCACGGCACAAGGATTTACACCGTGTCCCTGAAGTGAAGCTACGGCAATCGTTCTGTGGCCGGTTCCACCTCCTGCAGCAGCCATTTTGTGGCAGCCATTTCGTTGCTGTGCCCCGCGTGCCGGGCAAAGCTCCCTCTAAGCTGTGGAGTCTTGTGAGCAAAAATTCTACTTTCTGAGCCACTGGCATTAAAGTTGTGAGTGAGCCATTTGGCTACTGCATTAATTAGTTTGCTCTGGAGCCCCATCCTTCCCGAGCCAAGGCAAAATTGTGTGAGCTGGAGGCTAAAAAACTGTGAGCTAGCTCACACTAACTCAGCTTAGAGGGAACACTGGTGCCGGGTCAGAATCCCAAATGCGCCTGCAGGTTCAAAAAGGTTGGGGACCCCTGCCCGATACCGCATGGCTACCAATGGGGTGCCTGTTTCGATGCAGCTCTCTGGGAGGGGGAGTGTCCAGAGGTCATTTCGGGGGGGAACGCGGGGGAACGCAGTTCCCCTGGGTGAGGTACGG